GTTTTCGGATGGTCTGTTTTATAACCAGAGGTGCTATGAATAGAGTTGTAGTTAATCTTTGGACAGATTCATGGTTGCTTATTTCCTGAGCATAAACTCACAGAAGTAAAATCAGTGGGTTAAATTTATGCATAATTGACAAACTGCTCCCTGGACAAGTTGGATCAATAACACTCCTGCCAGCACTGCTTGAGGGTAAGTTTCCAAGTGTGTTGGACAGTGCAACCTAGAATTTAATAAATCATTCCTATTTGTTAGATTAAAAATGATATTTTTGCCCTTATCTAGCATGCATGAGGCCCTGGACTCAATCCCTAGAATAGAAACAAAAGCTTTACCTATCTATGTATCTATCTATAGCTATAAATATATAGAGAGAGTCTGCCAAAAAATGTATACACACTTCAGGGAAAGAAAAACTTGTGTTAATATTTTATTTTATTTTTAAAAAATTTTATTGGTACACTTTAGGTCTACAATATCATGACATTGGAAATTTGCACCTTTACATAATCTCTCTTGGTTCTTTTTTTGGGGGGGGGGGAGATATGTACATTTTGAAAGTGTTATATTCAACAGCTGTTCCACTCAACAGCTGTTCCACAATCTGGCCATCTTTAGGGCTGTCCAACAATACTGTTAATCCAGGTGAACCATTTATCCAAATTTAATAGTCGATTAATAATAGATTCCAAGTTAAACAAGGCATGTATACATTACAGAAAGCAGTACAGAAATGTACTGTATATGAACTGTTTACAAAAACATACAAAAGGTTGGATGGCACAAGGGATACAGTGCTAGTATAAATGGATTGTTTAAGCTAAGTGCTTAACATAAACTGGCCATCCCTATCACTAACAAAGAATATTTAAGGGACATGAAATATTTTCTATAAAAACAATGCTATATGGTGTAGAGTACTTTATTCAGTGTATTTTAGGTGGTACTCATATTGTCATTATTTTCCTTGTTGATTCGTGAATATATCTTCATCATGTTTCATCCAAAGCTCCAGGAAAATCTAACTTGCTAACAATCATTTAAAGCGAGAAGAGAAGAAAGCAGGAGCAGCAGCAGGGAGCAGCAGCATTATGGGTACCAGCGGGGACAGTATGTCTTTGCAGGTCTCGCTCAGATATGTGCTACCTGTCGCCAGAACTTGTGCTATCAGCTTACACCACGGTACCAAATATCTCACTGAGGTCACTTCGCAGGGCTGTTGAGGTGATTTTCTTAATACCTCTCCGCTGAGCAAGGGTAGAGCGGCCTACTGGTTCCAAAACTGGTGACTGATTACGGTTTAAAGCAGAATAAGTAGCTGCCATGGCACCCTTTACTAGATGTGGTGCATCCTGCCTGTTTAGTTGGTCTTGTGGCAGTTGGTCCCAGTGGACAATCCAAGGATGTCTGAGCACAAGAGCAGCAGTCGGTCTCTGATGAGGGTCTACATGAAGCATCTTTGATACCAGGTCCTTTGCGGTATCTGAAACAGAATTCCAGTAACCACCACTGAGTGAGAATTTTCTGCTACCTATTTGTGCCAATATTTCCTCGGGTGTATCATCAGGACCATTTGCAAATGGAGTGTAACCAGTAAGCATTGTATAGAGGAGGACATCTTGGTTCTTATTTTTCCCCCTTCCCCTGCCCTCCCTTCAACCCCTCCATCCCTCCCTATTTACAAAGACTTGTTTCCTTTTATTTCATTTTCTCATATTAATTCCATTCCTTTCTTTCCTTTCTCCTACCCCTCCCACTTCCCCTTCCCCTTTGCCCCTTTTCTTCCTATTTCACATTATCTATTACACCTTTTA